AAGTGAGTGAGTGAGTGAGTGAGTGAGTGAGTGAGTGAGTGAGTGAGTGAGTGAGTGAGTGAGAGCCCAACGAGCCCCCACTGCACACCCATGCCCTCCCCGCCTGACCCACCGGGGGAGGGCGTCGTGGAGCGCAAGGGCGCTCCAAGGCGGAGACATCCTAGCCATTAGGGAAAGAAACTCCGAACTGCAAAAGGCTCTTGCTCCTCTTCAATCTCCTCGATTGCATCTATTGCACGAAAATGGATGCGAGAACGAAAGGAATAGAGAATGTAAGAGAGAGAGACGTACAGAGGAGAGATACGAGAGAAATGGAGAGAAAGAAAGACAGCAAGAGGGAGAGAGAGAAAGAGAAATAGACAGAAGAGAGAAAAGCTACAAAATATGAGAATAACAAGAAAGAAAGAAAGAAGAAAAGAGAAAGGCAAAAGAGACAAAGGCAACCTTCGGCTCACTCCGGCCGCCAAGTCTCGCAAAATCAAATCAGCTGAGGAGGTCCCCACGGCAAGTGTCTGCAGGGGCGACAATGCCAAATACTCTAATCGGGAGGGGTTGGGGTTGGGGTGGGGGGTGGAGGGAACAGCTGATTCAAGGACAAGCGGAAAGCGGTGCGGTATCTCGCTGTTTTCTATCGATTCCCAAATAGGCTGAGTGACAGATAAGTTGATAAATTAGGCTGATAAATTAGAATGACAGATAAAGCTATGCAGAGATAAAACTGGGTAATAAATTAACCTGAAAGAACAGTACATACAGAAAGTGGGACAGACAAACAGACTGGTAGATAACAATGATACACAGATCGATACATGGGATACATGGAGACATGGATAGAGAAAGTAGAGCAAGTATTAATGTGTGTTTCCATGTATGTACATATGCACGCTTACATATGTTGGCTTGTGCTTGTGCAAATGTGGCTGTAAAGGGAAGAAGGTGGGCGAGATGAGGGCGAAAGGGGGTTGGGGAGGAGGAGAGAGAGAGAGAACAAAAGGGAAAAGGGAAGGGGGAGGGGGGAGGGCCCAGTCGTGTTAGTGACGGAAGCATGCGAACGTGGGCGGGGATGGCTCTTTGGGAAAGGGGAGGAGCGAGCAAAAGATCGAGGCGGGAGAGAGGGAAGGAGGGGGTGGGATGGGAAAGGAGAGAGAAGGGGGAGGGAGAGAGAGAAGGGGAGGGAGAGAGAGAGGGGAGAGAGAGAAAGGGGGAGGAGAGAGAGAAGGGGGAGGGGTGAGAGAGGGGAGGGGAGAGAGGGAGGGGAGAGAGGGGGAGGGAGATGGGGAGAGAGGGAGGGAGAGAGAGAAAGAGAGAGAGAGAGAGAGAGAGAGAGAGAGAGAGAGAGAGAGAGAGAGAGAGAGAGAGAGAGAGAGAGAGAGAAGGAGAGAGAGAGAGAGAGAGAAAATGAGAATCACGCTCAGTTTGCATAATACCGGAAAGTGGCACTGGCCCTGCATCCCTCCCCTCACATGTCAGCCGAGGGCCACTGTACAACACGCTCCTCTAGGGGTGGAGAGGGGGGTGATTTGGTAGGCTAGGGTAAAGGAGGGTAGGGTAGGGTAGGGTAGGGTAGGGTAGGGTAGGGGTAGGCGTAGGGTAGGGTAGGTAGGTAAGGTAAAGTAAGGATAATGTAAGGTAGGGTAGGGTAGGTAGGGTAGGGTAGGGTAGGGTGGGGCAGGGTGGGGTGGGGTAGGGTATGGTGGGTGGTAGGTATGGTGGGGTGGTGGGGTAGGGTAAGGGTAGGGTAGGGGTAGGGTAGGGTAAGGTAGGGTAGGGTATGTGGGGTGGGGTGGTGGGGTAGGGTAGGGTAGGGTTGGTTGGGTAGGTGGGGTGGGTAGGGTAGGGTATAAAAGGTAGGTAGGGTGATTAGAGGGAAAGGGAAGGGAAGGGAAAGGGAGAGAAGGGGGAAGGTAGGGGAGAGGACAAAGCGGGGAAAGAGGAAGAAGAGGGAGAGGGAAACAGGGTATCTCTTTCTCCCTTCCCCCCCCTCTCCTCTTCTCTCTCCTCTCTCTCTCTCTCTCTCTCTCTTCTCTCTCTCTCTCTCTCTCTCTCTCTCTCTCTCTCTCTCTCTCTCTCTCTCTCTCTCTCTCCCCTCTTGTTTACTGACGCTGCCTCCGCCGTCGCCCACGCCAATGCCTCGAAAACATAATTAGCATGATCATAAATAACGGTGAACGGAATCTGCACTGCAGGCGTCAATGAGAAGGGCGACAAACACTTTTTTCTTCGTAGCAATTCCATCACTTAACAACGATCATCACCACCATCACCACTATCACCACTATCACCACAATCACCTACATCATCATCATCGACATCATCATCATCGACATCTTCATCACGACTACAATCCTCATACCTCTAATAAAATCTCAGACTGTTATTACGCATCAGCTAAACACACCAGCGCACTAAGCCTTATCAGTGAGTCAGTCCTATATGTGTGTGTGTGTATGTGTCCGTGTGCGTGTGTAAATAGTCCGAAACATGAATCATTCTTCCCACCTGTTTCTCTATCTGTGAGGCAGTACATTTTTTGTGCAACGCCAAGTTGTGTATGCGTGTGTATGCGTAGACGTGTGTGTTTTCAAGTTTTTTTTTTCATAACCGATATAAAAAAAATACAAAAAGATGATTCTTCAGCCGTGAGCTCCTACTTCCTGCTCAGTCAGTCAGGCGGCGAAAACCCGCAGGAGCAAAGTCTAAGCGCTCAGTGCACAGTGCGGTAGGTAGGAGGTAGGATGTAGGAGGTAGGACACAGAGGCGGGAGACGCGGGCGTCCCCTTTTAGCAGAGATCCTGGTCGTGACGCAGGGAGTTGCGTCACGTCACGGAGGTCCCCTGCTACGCCTCCTTCCTTTATCCTACCGTCTACCTCCACCTCCTCTCATCCTCTCCCTTTCCTTTAGTCCTGCCCTCCCCGATCACCTATCCTGACGTTTCCTCTTCCCTCCCCCATTCCCTCCCTTTACCCCCCCTCTTCCCTTCCCATTCGCCAATCCACCCCAACTTCTCCCCTCTCCCCCCATTCCGCTTCCAGCCCAAATCCATCACACCCGCCGTCTTCACGCCCAAGATGCTGCACCACGCCCGCCCTCCCACGCATCGGCTCGTTCCTCGGATCGCTCGCTGACACACCCGCCGCATTTTGGCCAGGAGCTGGATGGCCGAAGGGATGTTCAGTCAGCCACTTGCTTTACCACTTTCGTCAAACGCACCAGTTACATTCGTCCTATCGCTTACGTCACTTACCACTCACGGTTAGCACATCAGCTATTTTTGTCCTATCGATTACAAAAGAGTCCTCACAGGCCAGCCACTTACGTAACTGGAGTCACTACACAGTTCTTAAAACCAATAATGAACCGACTACCATCCGATGAAAATTCCTGCATTACTGACCGGAAGCACCCTCTCCCCCACACCTAGATCAATTTCTTACCCAACTCCTATTTTCTTTTGGAATAGGATTGCGTCATTATGCGTGTGTCAGCAAGGCATTGGTGTGCAGGGGTAGGGGAGGGAGAGGAGGAGGAGGAGGAGAGGAGGCAGGACGGAGGAGAGGAGGAGGAGGAGGGAGGAGAGGAGGAGGAGGAAGGGGGAGCGGGGAGGGGGAGGAGGAGGGAGAGGAGGAGGAGGGGGAGGAGGAGGGGAGGAGGAGGAGGAGGAAGAAGATGGGGAGGAAAAGGAAGAGGAGGAGGAGGGGAAAGAGGAAAAGGAGAAGGAAGATGACAAGTGGGGAGGAGGAGAGGGAAGGGGACGAAGAGGAGGAGAGGAAAGGGGAGAAGAGCGAAGGGAGAGGAGGAGGAGGAAGGAGGGCCTGGGACAACTCATCTGTTAAAACACGTGGCCAGATGGTTCGCTACCTCCTACGCACGAAAATATAAAGGATGTGAGAGTGTATATTATTCATCAAAATCAAG